AATAATGAAATATGAAAAATTTGGCAACAAAAATTTAAAAAAATTCGAATTTCATATTTCAAAGTTCTCCACGGTACATAGCGTATGTTATGTGAAGTGCAAAGGGTTAATAAAAATATTGAAATTCATCGACGAGTTCTTCGTGTTCCTCGATCGAAACCGCGAGAAAATGAAAACGGTCGAAAATTCGCGACATACCTTTACGCTGTGTCGCTTATCGCTTTACACCGTTCGAGTCCGCTGGAACTTTTCTTCCCTCGGAACAATAACTGTGCCTGAATAGTTAGATACGAATGGAACGTGCTTTATCGATTGTTTTGGAGGCGACCGAGCGCACTGCCACGGGTGAGTGTGCGAACGACGAAAACAGAAGGAAATGTAGCGACAAAAGTCGAGCTTACAATTAGCGTAGATAAGGGTGGGCACACACGACGCGTCGTTGCCGACAAAAGTCTCTCCTTTCTCCGTTTCTTTCCCCCCGATCAAACAAACGTCGATTCGCATCCCTTCGCGAAATTTATAAAACGACACCTTGAAACATCTATTTCATACTTCTCTCAAAATTATAAAAATACAAAATTTAATTTTTAACTATTCTAAAACTTGAGGAATTTTACATTTAATAATAAAAAAAAAAGAGAACAAGAAATCTTTGTTAGATACAAAGTTACATTTCAGCGAGGGAGTAGATTACTTTTGCCACCGACGACATGCCATAAATATGCAACCACATAGATTACTGTTACGTGTGTAGGTTCTTAAAAAAAAAACAAACGACACTTTAGAATTATTTACACTAGTATTCACTCGTACGATCGCTGCCCCTGTGCACGAGGTACGTACCAAGTTAGTTTCTACAATAAAAATTGCCAAAACCGACGAGAATTCCGGCGAATGGTTATCGTTATTAATCGCATACTTTCCGCACACGCCACAACAAACGTCACGCTGCATAATGGAAAGGTATGAAATTGGAGTAAAAAAAGAAAAGAAGCGTGTTCATCGTGAGATTTGACAGTGTCAATGATGTAAGTGCACCCGGAAACGATAAGAATATTTCTAGCGTTATGTTTACCGGTCGGAAAAAGATGAACAATCTATAAATAAGAGAACCTTCTCGGTTTCGATATGTTGAAAGCAATTTGACTGCAGTAATTTCTTGATACCTATAGCTAAAATAAGAACGTATGTTGTGTGATGAAACGTGTTTGTACCGTTCTTATTTTGTAACACGAAGAACCAAGAAAGTCTGACACGTAAGTCGCAAACTATTGACCTATTCCACTTTCACAAGTATCCGTCGAGTTTAACGAACGCGTTTTCCAAATCGATCACTGTACTGTTTACGTTTAATCGTATCGTAAAAATCGTCGAAGATCTCTCGTAAGATACTGCAACAATTTTCAAGAACATAGTTGAAGAAATGTGCGCAATACAAAAATGAATAATTAACATACCGTCGAATCGATCGAAATTTCAATTGATCGGGATATCTAAGATTACTCGAGTCGCAACGAAATCGCACGATTGGAGTCAATGTTCCTATTAAAGTATCATCAGGTAGGTAAAACGAAGCAAAATTTGTAAGATGTGTAAAATGTTGTACATATAAAACACAAGAAACATAAGTAACAGCCATTAACAACGATTCACATATCATTTCGTCTGTTATTCATTAACGAAATTCTACGGAATAGCGGTGTGTGACTAATAAAATCTAGGAATGTCAAGGTATTCTAATATTCGTAGTCACCAGTGTGTGTAAATTTAGATGCAACCATGACGATGAATAGAATCGTCGTGTAAATATAGCGAAAGGTAGTTGCAGTAGGAAATAATAGTGGGTAGTCCTAGCAGTGTGCACCCGTTTTTTTCTTTTTCTTCCTCTTTCTCTTCATGATTATCATTTCGTAGACATCCGCAGTTACGATCATCATTGTCATCGTCTAAAGCAGTGGCCAATGTTTCATTTCAGCGGCAATTGTACTCGTGGTTGCCACCGTCTGTCGCGCAGAATGCCAGAGTGAGTGATCAAACCAGCTTCGCTTCAGTGTCCTTGTTGTCATCGTTGTCTGTCAACGTTATTCCGCAGGGCTTCTTGTCCGAAGATTCAATTCGTTCTCACTACTGATTTTTTTCTGTTTTTTTTTTTTTGTTTTACTTCTACTATTTTCGATTCAGTGATTCAGTTGCATAAGAATGACGGATAATTTTTTACTCTGTCTGCGCTCACGATTGTTTCGTTTGTATTTAACACGTTTAATTTGCGACCTTTCTTTTTTTTTTTGTCTACTTTTTTTTCTGCAATTAAGAATGTGGTATCTTCTGACGAGTTTGATTTTTCTTTTTTTCGTAGATGTACTTACGGTGCTTCAGTATATTTTCCCTTTCTTCATATCTTTTTCTATT